CCCCCCCCCCCCCTCTCCCTGCCTCTTTTCCCAGTTCCCTTCCATGTGTGAGAAGATGAGGATCCGGGTGACCGACTGGTGAGCAGGGAGGGGGCTCGCTGGGGGGGCTGCCGGTGGGGTAAGCTGAGCTGGAGGAGCAGGACGGGCAGGGGGACACCCCCAGGCAACCCCCCCTGCCCCAGGTCCACAGTGCAGCAGCATCGGGTTGTGTTTCAGGGACCGTCTGACGCACAACGATATCATCGGCACCGCCTACCTCTGCATGTCCAAGATTTCAGCCCCCGGCGGGGAGCTGGAGGGTAAGGGGGGGCAGCAGGATGGGATTTGGGGTGCATGGCTGTGGAAGTCACCGCATGCTCGTGGCTGGAGGTTGGTCTTGGCTTGGAGAGGGTGTCACGGCCACCATGGTCCCTGCCCGGTTGCCGGTGCTGGGGGAGACGTGGGATGAGGTGCTGGGGGTTGCTCCGTCCTGCGCTCTGTTTTCTGGTTGGACCTCACCCCTCCCGGTTTGTGGTTCTGAAGATCTTCAGAGCTTCCCAGGGGCGTTGGGGTGGGGTTGGTGCAGGGTTGGGAGATTTTGTTTCCTCTTTTCCTTGCTGAGCGCAGGTTGGCTGCGGTGCCCTGTGCAGCTGGTGACGGGCAGCGGCATCACCGGTGCTGGCAGATGCCACGTCCCCCCCGTGTGTGCCCCTCCTTAGGTGGCTGTCACGGGGTGGGGGTTCAGCTCCAGCTTGTGCTGAGGGTGCTGTCCCAACTCCCAGGGGCTCTCCAAAGAGAGAGGGGACCTGAGAGGACATTGCAGAGAGGCTGGGGCTGGGCTCTGCTCCCAGGGGATCAGGGACAGGACAAGAGGGAACGGCTGGAAACTGCCCCAGGGGAGGGTCAGGCTGGGCAGGAGGAGAAAATGTTTCCCAGCAAGAGTGGTGCGAGAGTGGAACAGGCTGCCCAGGGAGGGGGGAGTCCCCATCCCTGGGGGGGTTTCAGGGCCGTTGGGATGAGCTGTGGGGGATGTGGGGTAGGGGAGAACTTTGCAGAGTCGGGCTGAGGGTTGGACTCGGTGATCCCGAGGGGCTTTTCCAACCGGAGTGGTTCTGGGGTTCTCACTCTGTGAAACAAAGGACCACGGCAGCGGTGCCGGCAGGGATGGGCTGGGTGACACTGCCGGTGTCACCTGTGCCGAGCGGGAGGGCACGACTGCAGGACTACTGAGAGCCAGGACAGGGCCAGGAGCAGCAGCTGCCCTGACCTGCATGAACATCTCTCGCTTCTAACACGCTTCGGTGGCATCTGCAGCCCCATCGGGGCTCCCGTCGCTCTGCTCCCTTTGCTTTGTGCATCTCTCAGACTCTTGGGCACCCTTCAACCCTCCCGCCCCATCACGAGTGTCCCGGTGCCGTAGAGACGCAGGACAGGGCTACCAGCAGCCCCCTGGACATCAGCCCCCTGCAAAGCTGTAGCCACACGTTCTGCAGCCTGCGTCCCCCCACCCCGGTGCTGCCTGGCTGTGCATGCAGGCATGGAGTTGGGGTGCAGCACTGTTCTCCACCAAGGGGCTTGTGTGTCCACGCCCCATCTTCCCCAGTTAAAGGGCAGCTCCTGGGCTTGTCTGGGGAGAGAGAGAGGCAGCGGGGGGAGGAGGAGGCTGCTGGGGTCTGCCCTGGGCACAGCCCACCCCACCGCTGAGACCTGCTGGATCCCGAGTTGGTGTTTGCAGCATCCTCCAGGGATTCTCAGCTCCTCCTGTTTCCCACCAATCCTGCAACCCCTGGAAGGGTGATCGGGCTACGTAACAACCTCCCCCTTTCTCTCTGCCTCTCCAGTGTCTGTTGGCACCAAAAGCCCATGAGAGCATCCACCTTCGTTTCCCATAACCCTCCATCCTTCCTCCATGCCCCCATCCAGCCTTTCCTAACCTCTCTCCATTTCTTTGTGCCTCAGATGAGTTTCCTGCTCTCGCGAAGCCTCTGAAAGCCTCAGACCGTACGTCCCCTTAGCCTCTCAGTTTGCAGTCGCCTCTTGGTAACTGTTTTGTGCTGGTTCAGCTGCGGTCAGGGCCGGAGCCTGGGCTGCGTTGTGCCTGGGCACCTTGGTGGGAAGAGGGGATGTCTCCAGCATGGCCTCCCCCTGCCCCGAGGGAGCGTGGAAAGGGCTCTGCTGCCCTTCCCCACGGCAGGTTTGGGGTGTCTGTGTTGGGCAGCGGTGGCTTCATGGTCTGGTGGGTGCTGAGCCCGCTGCGCACAGGGAGCAGCAGGCTCAGGAGCTCAGAGCAGGACCCTGTGAATGGTTTCTGCCCCTTTGCTGCTCCTTCTGCTCGAGATTTCATAAAAATCCTCTTCCGATCACTCTCTTCCTGCCTGAAGGGGAGCACGGGGCCAGCTCCTTGGCTGGTATAAATCCCCTGCACTGGTTCACACCAGCAAAGCCATGCTCTCCTTCTCTGGGGACCCTTCCTGGGACTGGGAAGCTCTGTGCCCCCTGCTCAGCCCCACGGCCCCCTTGTCTTTCTCTGGCAAAAAGGTAAGCGGTCATAGGACTCAAAGAGGGTGAAAACCTGCAGCGTTTCAGTGGCCTCCAGCTGCATGCATGTGGTCCTGCAGAGAAGCCCCGCGGGACACGTCCCCGAGGTGCCTTCGGGACTCTCTAACAGCTCTTTCCCCCCGCGGTCCCCAGCGGACGATGGGCTCGGGTTCCTGCCGACCTTCGGTCCCTGCTATATCAACCTCTACGGCAGCCCCCGGGAGTTCACCGGCTTCCCCGACCCTTACGAGACGCTCAATTTAGGAAAGGTGACGTCGGCTTCTTCCCAGCACAACCTAAACTTAACTACCGCCTTCCTTGGCAAAAAAAAGCTGCTATTAACCCAAACTGGCTTTCTTATTAGGAGCCTGCACTGCATTTTCTCCCCCTGGCTATTCCTGCTGGCTAAGCACCTCCTGATACTGCTCTGCTGTCCAAATGCTCTCTACCTTTGAAGAGCTTGCAGAAATACTTTGCCTGATCTCGCTCCTCCGCGACGAAGCCCACTGAAAGCAAAGGCAGAGCTCGCCTGCGGGGAGGGGGCACCGGGGTCCTGACGCCTGTCCCTGGTCTCCCCCAAGGGCGAGGGAGTTGCGTATCGCGGCAGGATGCTGGTGGAGCTGGAGACCAAACTGGTGGAGCACGTGGAGCAGAAGGTGGAGGACATTTCTGCGGATGACATCCTGAGGGTGGAGGTAACGGCGTCTCTGTGGGGCACCCGGGCCCACGGGCTGTGGGGTCGGCCCTCCAGCGGCATGGCCTGTGGGGCACTGGGGAAGGGGCAGGAGTGTCGGTCCTGGGTGGGTGATGTCCCGTGAGCGGCGGGGTGGTTGGTGAGCTCCTGGAGGGTGTCTTCTGCAGCGTTTCCATCCCAAGGTGTCCAACGTGCTCTGCCTGAGCAGGCCATGGTGAACAAGCTGCCCAGGGCAGGGTCAGGCTGGCTCTGAGGAAGGATTTCTGTGCAGAAGGGGCTGTTGGGCGTTGGAATGGGCTGCCCAGGGCAGGGGGGAGTCCCCGGGATCCCTGGAGGGGTTGAAGAGTCGGGCTGAGCCAGCGCTGAGGGATCTGGGGGAGTTGGGAACGGTCAGGGGGAGGCTCATGGTGGGGCTGGAGGAGCTGCGAGGGCTTTTCCAACCCGGATGATTCTGGGGTTCTGTGGAGAGCTGAGAGATTTGCCTCAACTCAGGCGCTGTGACAGATATGTTCCTTTTGCTCATTTCTTCAGGTTTAAACCATGTTTTTTATGGAAAGTTCTAGCCTTCTCCTTTGTCGAGTTTCTTCTCAATACCTCACCCCAAATTCCCTTGCTGCAATTTATGCTTTTCTTCCCTGTGATAAACTTTTCCATCTTGGAGGCCTCGCTGAGCTGTCATGTGCCAGGGTAGCGGAGGGTCTGTGTGTAGGAGAGAGGGGGTGGTGGCTCCTCTACGGACACGGTCCCGTGTGCCTCTTGCAGAAGTACCTGCGCCGTCGGAAGTATTCCCTCTTCGCTGCCTTCTACTCAGCCACCATGCTCCAAGATGTGGACGATGCCATCCAGTTTGAGGTCAGCATCGGCAACTATGGCAACAAATTCGACAACACGTGCCTGCCCTTGGCCTCCACCACGCAGTACAGCCGGGCCGTGTTTGATGGTGAGCGACACCAGGGTGACCGAGCACTGGGCCAGGCTGTCCGGGGAGGGTGTGGAGTCTCCATCCTTGGAGATATTCAAACCCCAACTGGATGTGGCCCTGGATAACCTGCTCCAGGTGATCCTGCTTGGAGCAGATGACCTCCAGAAGTTCTTGGTCCCTCAGTCATGTTCTGAAGGAGTAATGTGTGGCTGGGGAGGAGGCGGGGGAAGCCAGGAATAATTCTCTCAGCTCTGTGCTGGTTTGAAGTGTTTTTTGGGCAGCATGTCGGTGCTAACGGTGCCCATTTCTCCCCGAGGGAGAGACGGTGCTTTGGGGTGGCCTTTCCCTGGCTCCTGTGGGGCTCTCGCTCTGGTGTGAGATGTCCTCACCCCACTGGGGTGGTTCTGCTGGCTTCTGGCCTTGGTGCTCTGCAGGAGCTGCTGTGGCCATGGGGGTTGATGCACATCCCTTAGGACCTTGCTCTGTTGCATGTGGGTTTGGGGAACATAATTCCCATCCTCTTGCTCCTAAAGAACCCCAGAGATGCTGCACTGCCCCGCCCTTCATCTCTGCTCTGGCCCTGAGGAGTGGGGTCCCCTGTCACCCCAATATCATGAGCTCACCAGTGTGCTGTGCCCTCCAGGCTGCCAATATTACTACCTGCCCTGGGGTAACGTGAAGCCCGTGGTGGTGTTGTCGTCCTACTGGGAGGATATCAGCTACCGGACTGACGCTCAGAACCTGCTCCACTATGCAGCCGACAGGCTGGTGAGTGCTGTGGGGGCAAGGAGCATCGTCCACCTCCTTTTGGGCTGAGCCAGCGCTGAGGGATCTGGGGGAGTTGGGAAGGGTCAGGGGGAGGGTCATGGTTGGGCTGGAGGAGCTGCGAGGGCTTTTCCAACCGAGAGGATTCTGGGGTTCTGTGATTCTGACAGGGGTCATCTCCAGGCTGGGTCAGGTTTGGGGTTTGGTGACTCTTGTGCTGTGCAGGGGAAATCTGTCAGCGTCCTGGGTGTCCTGCTCAGCCCGTGGGGTGGTGGAGGGGAAGGGACCACCCTCATCCTCGCTGGGGTGACAGGGGGGTGTGAACACAGTGCTTTGCTGTGCCCCCACCTGCCTACTGGTGCAGGCGCAGGAGGCGAGGACCTTCCTTCAGCTCCTGAGCTATTTACAGAATTTCTTGCTGTATTTCATTGTTGTTTCCCTGGAGCTGGAGCAAAGCCAGAGGTGCAGAGCCCTGGTGGGACCCAGGCTGGTGTTTCTGCTCACAGGGAGCAGCCCCAGGAGCTCGTTGGGAGGCTCCTGTGTGTGGGGTGGGGGGGGGCGCCCGGGGGGGGCCCTGCTGTGCAACTCCTCTTCCCCACCTATCATGCAGGAAGAAAACCTGGAGAAGCTCCACCTTGCTCTCAAGGCCAACCACTTGCCGAGTGAGCTGGACGCCCTGGGTGCCCAGCTGATGGATGACATCATTGCCGACTGCAGGTATTTTCTGCTGGGTTTGACTGAGCCTTTCCATGCCGTTATTGTGAGAGCGCTTATTTATCTTGGAAGGGACCACTTCTCTTTTTTTAAATTATTTTTATTTTCTCTGAAAAACGCTGGTCCTTCGGTAATGTTTGCTTCAAACGTTGCTGAGCCAGGGCACGGGGTTGAAAAGGTGACGTTTAAGGCAAGTCATAAATTTCCAGCCTTTATGCGAGGGCTGCAGTGGGGCTCACCTGAATGAGCATCATTGTGTTGGGGCAGGAGCCGGAGCCAGCCCGGCTGGAGGGACAGTGGGACTTGTGGATTGAGGAGCCACCCATGGGCCTTCCCTGTTGAGTCTGCGTAGGAGGCAGCCGTGCAGAGCACCCAAAGGGGCGGTTTGGCTGTGCAGTGGGTGTTGTGTGTCCGACAGCTGGGCGGGGGGACGGGGATGTCGCAGGGCTGGATGGCACATGGGCAGCACCACCAGTATCCGCCGCTGCTTTGCCTTTCTGAACTCTTGAACATTCATTCAAGGGGGGCTGGCGGGGTGCCACGGGCTTTCCCTCTGCAAAGCCTCTTTTTTTTTGGGCTGGATTGTGCTTTGTGGGGATGAGGAGCCGCTCCGGGGAGCACCGCTGCGGTATGACCACGGCGTTTTATCCCACGGCTCAGCCCTCAGGAAGGTGTTTCAGGGACTGCCCTCAGCAGGGTCTTGGGGCCGTGGTTCCCTTCCCAGATCTCTTCGAGGTTGCCATCACGTTGCTCCTTTCAGTCCTCTAATCATATTAAGCAATATTAAGCACAACCCAGTCCAACCATCCGGCAGTTTCCTACCTGAAACTGTGTGTGTCATCCGTGGCACATCTCCACGAACATGAGAGTTGTTGTCCAGTTTATTTATCATCCAATGAAAATGGGGTTTATGGAGCCCTGTCCCAGCCCGAGGGGGGGATGCTGTGACTGGTGGGGGGCTGCTGGTTAGGAACCGGGAGCAAGAAGAACATTTATAACAACAGCACAGTAAATCACTGTATTTTACAGGAAAACCTCTAAACAGCTCAGTGCAGCGATGATCCTCCCGGACTCCTGAAGCATTTATCCAGCAGCTTGAATCAATTTATATTAAAATGTGTGTGTGTGTGTGTGTGTGTGTATGTCTCAGCCAGAGCCCCATCCTGGCTGCTGTGGGTGATGCGTTGGGGCTGCAAGTGTGGTTTGAAGCTCCTTGGCATTGCCGTGTTCCCCGAATGTATCTTTGGTGGCTTGTTAATTCCTTGGCAGCTTGCTGAAAAGGAGGAAAAAAAAAAAAATTAAAAAAGACAGCAAAGCCCATGAGGGGGTGAGTGAGCTGCTAACGCTGCGTCTCTGCCCGTCCCCACAGCCTGAGCCTGCCCGATGTCCTGGGGAAGCCGGCCAGCACCCACCTGGACCAGAACATGTACCGCTTTCGCAGCACCAACCTGGAGCAGATCGTGAAGGCAGCCCTGAAGCTCAAGCATGAGGACTCGAGCCTGTCGGCGGCCCTGGAGCAGGCAGAGGACTGGCTCTTGAGGCTGAAGGCCATGGCAGAGGAGGTAACGCTGCAGGAGCTGCTTTTGACCTTGAGGGGTCTTGTTCTTCCCAAGCCCTCCCTCACGGTGCAACGGCTCTGAGCAGTCGCCCGGTGACGTGGGGGGAAGCGAAGAGACAACGCTGCTCTCACAGGCAGAGTCCTGTCCCCCGGGTGCACGGGTTGCACCCGTGTCCCCGCTGCAGTGAGGGGACCCGAGTTAGGAAGGGGCCAGGATTGGCACCCAGCTGTTGAGGCTCATGGCAGAGCTCTACCACACAGCTGGTGAACCCCCAACCTAAACTGGCCTGGCCTGGCTGAGGAGGGCAGGGATGGGAGAAACGGGGGGCCCTGGCCAGACCCAACTGGGATCTGGAGCTGCTGAAATGGGGTTTGGGCCAACTGGTCTCACCCCATGGGCTTGGGTTGGCAGTTGGACTCGGGGTACGGCTGCTCTCCAGCCTCCCCCATCCCTCCGCAGTTGCTGTGCTTGTTTGGAGCCCCCTGATTGGACACGATGGCTTTTGTGTTTTCCAGCCCCAAAACAGCCTGCCCGATATAGTGATCTGGATGCTGCAGGGAGACAAGCGTGTGGCATACGCCCGTGTGCCGGCCCACGAGGTCCTTTTCTCCAGGAACATCCCCAGCTGCTGCGGCAAGAACTGTGGGAAGCTGCAGACCATCTTCCTGAAGGTACCTTGGCTTCAGACGTGTGTGCGTGCATGATGCTCATAAAAAAAAAAAAAAAAAGAGAGAGAAATCAAGCAGGGGAAACCTGAAATCCCAACACAACATTAACCCACGAGGGCCCAGGGCTCCGAGGACCCCCAGCCCCGATTTCGACCCTGTTGAAGCTCGTTCCTGCCCAGTGAGAGCCTGGTTGTGCTTCTGGTGGAGTTCAAGCTCCTCTTACGTGGGTCTGCAGCAGATCCCCATGAATATCTTCATATTTTCTGCAAGTTCCTGGGCCGTGAAGATGGGTGCACTTTGGCCCAGACGGTGCTTTTTTAAAAAAAATATGTTTTATTTTTTAATTTTTCAAAGTTATTTTATGTTTTTCAAAATTCCTGACCCTCTGCCACCCCAGGAAATTCAAGCTGTGGCCTCTCTGCCAGGCACTTACCAAGCTTCTCACATCTCAAATGATGTTTCTTTGGCCTTTTGCTGCGTGCCAGCTTGGGAGCAGACAATCAGTGCTGAACAAGCTCTGAAAAAATAAAGTGAAATAAAAGAAACTGAATAAACCCCAAAACCCCAAGCCCAGCTGGCAGCAAAAGATGAACTAAAGTATATTGGGTTTTTTTCTGTACTTTAGCTCTGGATGGAAAACCAGCATCACTCGAAGGGGAAAAAAAAGTAACTGAGAGAGAGAAAAAAGGGCAATGAGACATCTCCCTGTTTATTCTTTCTATTTTTGCTGAATTATGTTGGCTGGGTTTGGTGTCCCGCCCTGAAGGGTTTCTCACCAAGGCGCAGAAGCCCTGACCACTGGGGCTTTGAAGCTCCTCAAGGTCATCCCCAAAGTGCTCTACACACTGTTGGTGTTGTCCCAGTTCCCAGGGATGTTCCATGTCCCACCTATCCCCTGGCTGGGGCTACGGCAACTTCATTCCCACCACCCCCAGCTTTGCATCCCGAGCATCTCCCCTTAATATCCTCCTCGGGGTTATTAACGGGGCTCTGCCCTTGGCAGTACCCCCAGGAGGAGGCCATGGGGCCGAGGATCCCAGCTCAGATCCGGGTCCAGCTCTGGTTTGGGCTGTCGGTCGATGAGAAGGAGTTTAACCAGTACGCCGAGGGGAAGCTCTCCGTCTTCGCTGAAACTGTGAGCATCTCTCAGGGACCACCACAAAGGGTTTTTTTTTCTCTCTGGGGTGGGCAGCAACTCCACCATGGAGGGGAGAGGGTGGGCTGGACCATGGGTGAGAGCACTGCTGGGTGGGGGGTCACATCAGCCCCTACAAACCGTGAGAAGAAAGAGCTGTTTCCACCAACATCCAGCCCAAAAGGCCGGGGAGAAGGTTGGTAATGAGCCATAAAGCCACGTTGTGGCTTCACATCTCCTTCCACCTGCAGGGGGGGGAACTCATGGGGTGCCCATGGGGGTGGGGAGGTTAGGCTCTTCCCAGGAGGTCTGTCCTCAGGATGGGGCTCTCCAGGAAGGAAGGGATTACTGATAGGATTTCAAAAGGTTTATTCATGGGATTTTGTGCCTCCAATGCAAAAACCTCTCTGCTTTTGCTCCCCCAGTATGAGAACCAGACCAAGCTGGCGTTGGTGGGGAACTGGGGCACAACTGGTCTGACTTACCCCAAATACTCGGATGTCACCGGCAAGATCAAGCTGCCTAAGGACAGCTTCCGCCCCTCCACGGGCTGGACCTGGGCTGGGGACTGGTTCATCTGCCCAGAGAAGACGTGAGTGATGGTTTTCTGCCAAGATCAGAGCCTGGGTGGGCTGTCCCGGGCACCCCAAAAACCTGAGCAGATGCTAAGTTGGTGGCAAGGTCACCCAGAAAGCTTGATGGAGGTCGGGGTGGCCACAGGGGTTCCTCATCTGCTTTCCCCATCCTTGGTAGGGAAAAACATTAATGTAAAACACATCGTCTCTGCGTCGGGTGATGTCCCTGGGGTGGTGGGTGCTGCGCGGGTGCTCACAGACATGATGGCCCCAGCACCCAGGGGAGCCCCTGACACCATGCGTCCCCCCGCGGTGCAGGTTGCTGCACGATGCGGACGCTGGGCACCTGAGCTTCGTGGAGGAGGTGTTTGAGAACCAGGTCCGGCTGCCTGGAGGCCAGTGGATCCACATGACTGATGCCTACACTGACGTGGTAAGGGCAGAGCGGGCAGCCGGGGGCTGAGCACCACCCCAGGCTGCAGTGGCAGAAGCCCCCGGGCGCTCAGGAGAGGTTTAGGCATCTGCTGGGCATTGTTTGATTGAAAACACCCCTGCGTCCCACAGAACGGGGAGAAGGTCCTACATAAGGATGAAATAGAGTGTCCTCCGGGCTGGAAGTGGGAAGATGTGGAGTGGGACACGGATCTCAACAGAGCTGTGGATGAGAAAGGTATCAGAAAGCAGTTTTGGGCATCCGTCCTGTTTTCATCCCCTTTGTCCATCGTGGTGTTTCCTTCCGCGGTCCTATCCGGCGCCGGGGATTACAACATCCCCTTGGTGGCTGTGTGAGCTGCCCCGATGGCCTCAGGAGAAGGGGCTCAGGCCCTGGGGATGCCCCCTTCCCCTTGTTCTGGCTGAGGCTGGGGCTGTGGGGTGGGCAGCCACAAAAGCAGCACTTTCCTTGCTGCTGGGCTCAGTCCAGGCTGCTCTTCTGGAGGATCTTACCTGGCTTCTGGCGAAAGAGAACTGGGCCATCAGACCAGAGAGCATCCGAGAGGGTCACAAGGTTGGGGTGGCCCGAGGAAGGAAGGACCGAGAGGTCCCCAGGCTGTGACTTGGAGCCAAGGGCTGGTGGGACACCAGGAATCCACCACCTGGGCATCCCCTGTAGGTTGTCCTCTGCGTGGAGCAGCAAACTGGGAAAGCGCCTTGTATCTGGAGAAACCTTTGCGCTTAAAGCTGCTCCAGTGCTGATAGGTGTGAGGGGAGGTCCGTGAGGAGGGGGGGGCTCTTCTCCTGCCTTCGCCCAGGTGTCTCCTTCTCCCCAAGGCTGGGAGTACGGCATCACCATCCCTCCCGACCGCAAGCCCAAGGCCTGGGTGCCGGCCGAGAAGATGTACCACACCAACCGGCGACGGCGCTGGGTGCGGCTTCGCCGGCGGGACCTGGCGCAGATGGAGGCCATGAGGAAGGTAGGGTGGGGCTGGAGAGAAG